ATTGTGCCTTCATTCTTTAGTTTGTTATAAAGTTGTGTTGTTTGATTGCCTAAATATTTATTTATCAATCTGTCACTCAACTGTTTTTTTGTATCCTGTAATACATTTTTCACTTCAACAATGGTAATAACTGATTTTTCAATCTTTTTAATTTGTTTTTCAATCAGAAATGCTTGACTGTGCACAAAAAGTGTGTAAACTTCTGATAAGGGATCAGCAAAAAAATCGACTACAGCTTTTGGGGCTTTTGCTTCCTTAGCGAAAAATTCTTTCAATGGCAGCCATAACTTTAGTATGCGTTCAATTGCTGGAAGTAGTGAAAGCCACCGACTTCTGGAATGTGAGAGTATATTGTTGTATTCTATTGCTGCTTGCTCACAAAAATCTTTAAGCCGTTCCACTCTTACAGTGAATATGGAAAAATACTTGAAAATTTTCAGAACAATAGACTCCACGTCAATCGACATCACATCGGCAGCAGTGGACGCTGTATTGTGCAGAATGTGCGCTGGGCAACCGATGCCTTCAATGTCTTTGGACAAAATCTCCTTTAATTTAAAAAAAACATTGTTAACTCCGTACCTATCTCTTCCGCCAAAGTTAGTGTTTGTGTTATCCCCGCTGAAAGCAACAATATTTTGTACGGGGATGTTCTGATCCTGCAACGATTTTATACAAAATGAAGTGATTGTATCAGATGTTTCATTCGGCAATGAGTCTATTTTTAGTAATTTAATTTGCAGTCCTTCTTTTTCCGTAAAGTACTGTATCAGCAGTGGAAATAACTTTTCGGCTTTGTGATTGCTAGAATCGGTTGAAATGCCGTAAAAAGGAACTTTTTCGACTTCTGTTTTAATTTGCGCGATCGAGTGTGGAGCTAAAATGTGTTTAATGATAGCAGTAGCTTTTGTTCTTGCAGTTGATTGTTTTGCTGCGATACTTGAATCAGGATACATTACGGCATTCAGTTTTGTCGTACAATCTAAAGAGCTAAACGATTGGTGGTGCTTTACGACTTTATAAGCTGTGGTCAGTTCGGCAGCGCATATTAACATGTCTTCGGCAGTACATTGCGTGATCATAAATGTCGATATATCTCTAGAAGTTGATGCAACTGATAATTTCGTCTTGTGATTTTTACTTTGGATATGGTCTTTGACACTTGACTTACCGCCGTGACTGACAGATATATGAAAGCCGCAAATTGAACAAAAGGCTTCATAATCATTTCTTCCTCTTTTAATGAATGACCACTCTTTAGTATAATCGTCCGAAAACAAACACTTTCTTTTTGGCATGACTTTTTAGCAAAATACCAGACTGGCAATAAAAAAACTAAACTACGAAATACAGGATAACGCGCAGCGCAAATTAAGTACGTTGTTCTCTAAAGCAATCCTGCGACGACGCGTGACGTTCAAGGCGCGAGGGCGGAGGGGCACGCGGCGCGGGACGCGCACGTAGTGTTGCCAACTATACTTTAAAATAACGTATCTTACGGTATTTTGCTTGATTATACTTTATACTTTTGAATAAGAAAAAAGTATCTAAAATACTTTATTCTAACTTATGCGTGAAATATTGTGTGCATTGAATGAAAGCAAGAATTCTGCCAAATTTCTGAATTTAACTCAGTCCATTACTCAGAATTTCCAATCATTTTATACTTTCACACATACACAGAACAGAATAACAACAAAATACATTATCATACAACTTTCGAAAAATCTGTACTGTCAGTACAGTCAAGTGTCAGTCAATGTCTCCAGTATATATTGTACTCTGTACTCTATGCTCAACGTTTGTTGTTTCGGTGGAATAGTAATAATTATAGTGTATATAACCGTCTGAAAGGAATATACGTTATTTTCCTTTGAAAAAGTTGGCAACCCTACGCGCACGTGTTAATAATCAAAGAAGGCAGCTAGGCTCGCTCGCTCGACTCCGCTCCACTTCAACCACTCGCCGATCGCAGACGCTGCACTTAACTACACAGGGGTAGCTTGCGAATTGTGTGCACACCGGGACAAATGACCTGTTGACCGGGACACCGGGACACAACGCTTCAAACCGGGACATGTCCCGGTGTACCGGGACGTATGGCAGCCCTAGCTTAGGCCCATCTGAAGAACAAAGATTTTTTGTTTACGAACAGGATTTCGTTGGATTCGCGCCTTTACTCATTTAATGATCGCGGGTGTCCTAACTGTACGAGGTCGGCCGGTCCTCTCACGATCTTCAAAGCTTGAATCTTCAGTGAATCGTTTGATAGTGCGATAAACAAATCGTAGGGTTATTTTCAATTTATGTAGAATATTGAAAATCTCTTCTGGTGCGTAACCATAGCAACACCAACCACTGCAACGCGATAACCGCTACTCTATCTTCTTTCTTCGACTGCTCCATATTTGAAAATTAATGAAAATTAATGTCTTTTTTTATTTGCGGCAAGTGCAAACGTTATATTTTTAAAATTGGTGAAGTTCATCTAGCCAGTATTCAAAATTTTTAAATCATAAGGTTTTACCTACTGCATCTGCACTAGTCAAAATAACGAATGGTTAGCTTATGCGTAACTTGTACACCGGTACTTTCTGTTGATTTTTTTTGCTGTTTTATTTGGAATGAAATTCCTTATCGGACGGTACGAATTCGGCGAATGGGGGATAGGCGAGTAAATGTGTAAGATTTTACCGTCAGGACCCTTTCTGACGTAGTGTAGACGGCCTTGGTGGCTATAAGGAAGCAAGATGGAATAATATCCATCTCCGTCGCACTGTTTCTTATTTTTTTTATTATTTTATTTTAAATTACACTTCATTTTAATAGACGCTAGTAATTCATTTATTTGTATTTATTAATAGATAATATATTACGTTTTTCAATAATAATATACTACGAAAGGAAATTCGTTCCAACCGAGTGTTCCACGACACTCACGCATGTTTTTTGTAATTCCTACAACGTAGGTTGTGAAGAATGGGTGCGAGGTCGTTCACAGATGACGATATAGTTCGTGCATGGTTAGATGATTATGATTATGTCAACACAAATGATGGACGTGGGAAGTGACTTTTGGAAGTTCATCATCATGATCATTATAGCCCTTCACAAGTCCACTGCTGAACATAGGCCTCCGCCAAGGAATGTCACAAGGCACGGTCCTGAGCCACCTGCAACCATCGACTTCCTGCATGGCTTAAAAGGTCGCTACTCCATTTAGTGGGGGGCTGCCCTATACTTCTCCTACCGATACGAGCCTGCCACTCCAGAACCCTTCTTCCCCATCGGTTCTTCGCTACATGGCCGGACCATTGCCACTTCAGATTACTAATCCGTTGGGCTATGTCGGTTACTCTGGTTCTACTGTGGATATCCTCATTTCTAAGTTTATCATGCAGAGAAACTCCGAGCCATCTGGAAGTCCTCTGATGAAAGTACCTCAGCAAGGAAAAAAAGGCTGCAGCCTGTATCCCTATAAGAAAAGGCGCATGACATATAATTACTGCAAAGGCTGCAGAATTCTCCTTTTTGGGAGAACATACAACGGACTAATTGCCCAACGTCTGCCAAAAAAAATTCTGAGTCATTTGGTAATTATCGTTGGTTTTCTTTGCAACGCCAAAAAAGAAAACTACATTTTTAAACAATAGTTCCTAATTTAGTCATTACTAGATTTAGTGCCTTACTGATATCAAAAAACATGTGCAATTTAATATTTGTGATTATATACTTAAAAGTTAAATAAATATTCCTTTTTATAATAATTATGTTTAATTTATATCCCATATTTCCTATAAGTATAATAAACCTGACTAAAATAAAATAAAATTTAATTAGAAAACACATTTAAAAAATTGATCGTCAAAAGTCGAATTAGCTACATAGGGTTAAATAAAACAATTTGTAAAAAACCAACACATTTTATTAGCAACAATAAACATTACTTAAATTGTATAACTAAATATAATAATATAATATAAATATACAATAAAACAAATACAAAATATATTAGAATCCTTTCACTTGAATAAACAGTCTAAAAATATTGTCTGGTACCTATTCAAAACTTAAAAATTCATTCTTTTGTGTAGTTTTATATCAAAAAAACTTTACAGAAAGAATGAAATTTATAAGTGGTGCTCTAAATCAACATAACGATTCTTAATCTAAATATATAATTATAATAAAATATTTGGCACATTTCTTTTCGTTCGTTAAAATTCAAAAAACTAAGTACAAATTTAAATACATTATACCTACACTTGTTTCCATTTACAATATTATTTCTTGTTGCCTACGTAAAAATAATTAATCTACTCTATAAATTGATCACATAAATGTTCATTTACGTTAAAGCATAAAATATACATTCCATACGTTCATTTCATTCAATTCATTGTAATAATCATGTGTTATTCACATAATATATCTCAATCATTGAGTTATATGTACTACGTACTAGAGAAGCCTTTCTAAACAAAAAAATGTGCACTACTCTATGTCTTCGCGCATGCGCGGGAGATAGTCAAGATTTAAGCGCGTTGCGCCCACGCGTTGCGCCCGCGCGGTCAGTTTATATAAAGAAATATATTTTTTCATGAATTTTTCTTTTGTTATATTACGATATTATTACCTATTTATTCACTTGAACAACAAATAATTTTACTTACTTGACTACTGAATTGTTATTTACGTCCAGGTTTAAACTTAATATTAGCGCCGCTCCACAGTGCATGAATATTGAAACCACAGGCTAACTAGTAGATTGAAACCACACTAAATGACACACTGTACGGATTGCAGTACAGTTCAGTTGAACATAGTGTATGTTCGGAATGCGCAATCTAGTACGTAGTACATATATATCGATGATCTCAATTGTAAAAACAACATGTGAATGTGTCCCCGGCGACAACCAATTTCATATCGCTCGAACATTTTCATAGTATCTTGAGTATTCTAACTATTTGTACGAATGATGGGGCCTTACCCACAACTTAAATTTTCTTCCCACCAAGAATAGCCTGAATTTGTGATACAGTTTTTCCCTTTGTCTCGGGTATTAAAAAGAAGACGAAGAATATACAGATCACCATAAATCCAGCGAAGAACCAGAAACAGCTGTAAATACCAATCGCGTCCTTCATCAGCGGGAAGCACAACGTGACGATAAACACCAAACACCAGTTCACAATCACAGCAATACCAGACGCAGACCCCCTGTACTCGACCGAGAATAATTCGGCCATCATCATCCAAGGTATCGGACCGAAGCCCAAGGAGAACGAAATTATAAACAACACCAAACAAACTAACGGAATCCAACCGACAACAGAAAGGTTAACACCGTCTACTTGGAGCTTGAAGTAGATACCGAGAATGATCAAGCAGATGCCCATGATAATACAGCTTTGGAGCAACAGGATTCTTCTGCCAGCTCGCTCAACTAACAAAGAAGAGATGTAAGTGGCGATAGTTTGGACGACTCCAACTATGATTGTTGCGATCGCTGGGGGGATGTCGGAGCCCGCAGATTGGAAAATGTTGTTTGTGTAGAAAATAACAGCGTTTATCCCGCTGAACTGTTGGAAGAACATCAAGCCGAGAGAACAGATGAGAGCCATTAGGGAGGCTTTGTTAGTGACCATGCTGAGCATTCCGGCGCGCTGGCGGGAAGCGTCGTCAACCTGTAAATAAAAAATATCTTTATAGTAATTCATTTTTCAGGGCTATTCTCGAATACAATTAGTTTTTTTTTATAGGATATGGGTGACAAACAAACACACAGTCCACCTGATGGTAAGTGGTGGCTGTGGCCCTGACATCTACATCTATGCTCGATTAGGAATCAAAATGCAGATGCGTTGTCACCCGTGGGGACATTCCACATGAGGCATTCCATCTTAGTTCTCACGGGTAACAACGCATCTGCATTTTGATTCGCAAACGAGGATAGATGTAGATGTCTATGGGCCACAACAACCACTTACCATCAGGTGGACTGTGTGCTCGTTTGTCACCCTTATCCTATAAATAAGAAAATATCATATTGCTAGATCATATTGTAACTATCGTAAAAATGAACTCTTGTCACTACAATTATGTCCTGTATTAACTGTTGCGAAGTTAACGTCGTAGTTAAGAGTGGCCATATAACGCTGTCAATGTAACTATGCGCGCACGATATGTATATGTCTACAAACTGACATTTTGTATAACATTGTTGCGCATTAACTTCACAATAACTTAAAATATCATACTAAGGTGCGTGAGAGTGAGTAGTATGGTCACCTTAAGCGTTGTCGCCCTATAAAGCCAAAACTAGGAGGAGGACAAAGGCAAAAGCACCAAGTCGTATACTATGACTAATATTTCAAGTAAAAAATAACAAACAAGCCTTGGCAATAATTAGGAACATTTCGAAAATCGAATTAAAAAAAACTGAGTACACTACACAATACTAAAATCGACTAAAATATTTACCATAATGTCAACTGTCACAACTGTCAACAAAATATTTACCAAAATGGCGTCAATAAAGCAGCGCCCTTTTGACCTTTCATTATTTGATTGACTGATGAAGAACCACGAAGAACTATCGCCATCAATCGGAAGCCATAAGTTGTTTTTGGCTTATCCCATAGTGAAAATTTTAAATTTAAAAAAATTTCAAAAATATAAATTTTCATCTTAACACAAAGTTTAAATTGTGATTAATTTTATTTTGTAACAACATTATGTTGTAATTTTATTTTTCTCATAATAAATTTTAGAGTAAGAACATACTATGTTATGTATATATTAAATAGAATAATAATTATCATATAACATGGCGGTTTTTTAATAGGGTATTATGATATTTATAATATAAATAAACACTGAGAGTATATTAGTAATAATTCTACTGTTCTTTATGTTTTCGAATAAGTCAAAACTTACATCTTTCTGCATGTCCTCAAGTTCGCTGGTGAGGTCTGCGTCGGGACCTCGTAGCCATCGCAAAGCTTTCTCAGCATCACGACGTCGGTTCCGGCTTAATAAGTATTGTGGGGTTTCAGGCATCCACCTGGTGACGACAAATTGCTTGGTTACAATTGGTAATAATAAATTTTTATTTCATAGATCCTCAGATTTGAGTGATGATCTCACAAATCTCTTATCATTTTGTATAAAAGTAAGATTAAGAAACGAACACACAGTTCATCCGGTGGTAAGTTCTCATAAACACCTACGTATATCCTAGATTTAGAGATCAAAATGAGAAATCTATGAGAGTCAAAATGAAATGATTTCGGCTTATCATTATCATATTTACTCCTTACCCAAAACCAAGTTGTGTTTGGCTAGACGTTTCAGTCCCTACATAGGTCTAGATGTAAAACATTGTTCTATTTACTAGAACTAGAAGCTAAACCAAAAATTGTTTTCTGGCTCGCTTCCTTAAATTATGACTGGAAAATTAAAAATTATTCATTATTATTAAGAAATGCAACTTTTATTGTTATCTCGTAATGTTTGTTCATTTGTACATTAGTTATTAAATTATAAATTTAAATTTTGATTTTAAGCAAACCATGCGAAAACTAAACATAAATTGTTAATGCTAAATGGGTATCCACTATACAGGATTACCTAGTGTTTATATACCATTACTCAATGAGTTGTAGTTGATTTCTGTCAAATAAACATTTTTCATTTTCAATCTGAAAATTAAGCCCTTTATTAGATAATAGCGTTTTGCAAGATTTGCTATAATTCGCCACTCTTTGTAGATTTGATGAATTTAGATATCAATGTTGTGTATATAGTCACCTTTTTATCTTAAAGTTTCAATAATATGATCATATCTAAATAATAGGTTATTGTTCAAAGTTAAAACTTAAAACTTATTAATTTACTCTGGTGTGAACAAAGCTTGTCAAAATCTATCATCCCCCTGGAATAACAAAACACATGACTGGTTTTCTTTCTTTTATTGTGAATACCGTTATTATGAAACATATTTTTCTAACGCGTTCAGCAAAGGTTTGAAATGATTTGTCTACATCATTCTTGCCGTCCGAATGCTATGTGAGTGTATTCAAGATAAAGAGTTTCTGATGTAGAAACACCCCACACATAATCTATACAAATAAATAAAATTGAAGTGTCTGTTTGTAATGTCAATATAACAGCTTTTTACTATATGCATATGAAAGGTACGTATAACAAAAACACGATTTTTAAAATTTTTGTCTGTCTGTCATTCTGTCTGTCTATCTGTCTGTTTGTTCCAGCTAATCTTCCAAACGGCTGGACCGATTTTGACCGAACTTTCACTGACAGATATCTGATGTTATAAGAAGTAACTTAGGCTACTTTTATTTTAGAAAAAGAATTAGGGTTCCGCGCAAAAGAATTAAAACCCATGAAATCCAATCGTAATAACATCTAGTATAATATATTAATGTTAAGTGTAGATAGTTAGGATATAGTCTAATTGAAGAACGAGAACGAATACCACATCTCCACATTTAAAACCTCACATATTACAATACAAATTGTTTGACGTTTGCACTTTGCACTAGCGTGCGCCTGTAGTTTAGTCTACCGTGTAGTGGTGGTATAAGGATATCCACTACCCCATATCGTCCCGTAGGTGTCGTAAGAAGCGACAGAGGGAACGAAAAGATCAAGATATAAGATGGGCAGCAGCGTCTTCCCGCTCGCCAACCCGCCTGCCAAGCTTGGCAACTATGACAAATGTCCCTTTATGAGGCAACATATGAGGGAGGTCTATTTTCAGCAGTGGACTTTTGATAATAACGGTGACGCAATAGCACTATCATCATCATCATCATTACAGCCCTTCACAAGTCCACTGCTGAACATAGGCCTCCCCCAAGGAATGCCACAAAGCACGGCCCTGAGCCACCTGCATCCATCGACTCCCTGCATGTCTTACCAGGTCGTCACTCCATCTAGTGGGGGGACGCCCTACACTTCGCCTGCCGGTACGAGGCTGCCACTCGAGAACCAGTAATGACCTATAGATCTGAGACGTGGCCCTTCACTGCTGGCCGTATGAGGAAGCTCAAAGTCGCTCAGCGAGCTATTGAAAGGGCAATGCTCGGCGTTTCTGTGCGTGATAGACTTAAAAACGAGGATATCCGCAGTAGGACCAAAGTAACCGGCATAGCCCAAAGATTTCATATGCTGAAGTGGCATGGGCCGGCCATATAGCTCGAAGAACCGACGCAATAGCGTACGACGCGCAAATATTGCCATACGATTTACCATCTGATCTTAACAGTCAGTCACTACCATATTATAAAAAAATATCTCACCAGAAAACAGCAACCAGCAAGGGCGGCAACACTGCAGAAATGATAGACAACGTCCTCCAGTGTGTCCAGCCGCCAATAACGAACGTAATTAGGATGCCCACGGTGAGGAACAGCTGGAAAAAGGCACCGAGGGATCCTCGTATTGAGGTTTCAGCTATTTCTCCGATATACATTGGTGCTGTTACACAAATGCCACCTACAAAAGCAAAATGGTTATTATAATGGATACAGGTTTATATTGCAATAACTGGCCAAATTTGCAGAGAAGGTTCAGAATTCAGTGGAGGAAAATTAATAAAAAAAAAATTCAAACATTCTGTTCTTTTTATCTTATAAATTCAAAATGCGTGATAATGCATTATTTTAACTGATTTTACTGCGCACGCACACATTCGTAAGGGTCGATAGGTAGGCAAAAACGTTGTTACCAATAAATCTTATTTACTCGTATTTTCAAAAACTGCAATAACGGTATAATTGCATTATTAATATATTAGAAACTTAAATTTAAAATTTGGCTACTCTTTGAAAAATAAATCTTTAAAAAATCTATATAATACTTTCGCACTCACCAGTAGCAAGACCTGCGAAGAACCGAGCAGCGATCAGCATGCCAGCGCCATTGGCGAAGATTGTCAAAAGCCAGTTGATCATAAATGGTATAGCTAGGAGTAGGATCGTTGGTCTTCTTCCAAAACGCTGAACCAGCACTCCTACTGGTAGAGCGCTTACGGCTGCGCCGATTGCCAAGATCGAAGAAACGAGGGAACCTGTAAAAAAAAAATGTTGTGTTAATTTCCCCGACGAAGCGTTTACGCGTTTTTGCAAACAATTCACCGCAGCTACCCTTAACCTGAACATTCTCACAGAAACGTGCACATGACAGCAAAAGCGCATGTAACAAGTTGGTGGAGGAAATACCAAGTGTAGACAATTCTCACGAGAACCGGAAAAAAATTAAGGATTTTATAAATAATAAAGTTATAAAACACAATTGACTCTGATAGTTTGTTCTTTGATTGCACTTAGCGTAATGCTATGTTAGGTGGTCAATGTAAATGTACACCGGTGTTAACTATTTCAGTTAATGTTTATTTAATTTTTTTATGTAATTTGCTGATATTAAAAATATATGATGTGGTCGTACTATAAATAAATAAAGCGCTGTCACGCTCCTATAAATGTGAAATTATACCAGTACCTAACATCAATCATTAATAAAAGACGCGGGTTTGCAACCGCAGTTTTTTTTATTTTTAGTCGTTATTAGGAAGAAGCTGCTGCTGTCCATGTCCTGATTTATTTACCTTTGTCGCCTCTTACGACACCCACGGGATGATGGGGTAGTGGACATACTTACACCGCCACTACACTATACTAGTCCCACTGGTACTAAACCACCACCATATTAACTGAACTACGTCAGCAAAAACTTGACATGACTTAATAAAAGTAAAGTTTTCATTTTTTATTATTTTTTATATAAGGGAGCTTCGTTATTATTAACATGTCAGTCCCATTGTACCTTATAACTAAATAGCACAAAACCATTTATTAAATTACTAATGTATACAATATACTTAATAAATGATAAACCATTTATGCAGAATCTAACAGTGGTTCAGAGAGTATACTTTGATATTCCCCCGTGTTACACATTTTAATGTCAGTTTTGGCGACCAGTAGTTTCCCTCCCGTTATCGTTTTTGGAACATTCCGCGAGCAAGTGTTGTATACCTTCGATTGTGTTACATGTTTCGCAATTTGGAGATTGTTTTTTTTTTTTCATCACGAAAGCAAACTTGTTGCACGGAATGTGTCCAGAGCGAAGTCGCATTGCTAATAAAGCAGCTTTTCTGTTCAATAAACATTGATTAAAGCAAGGCACTTTTGGAGGCTAACTCTAAAAGTTTTCATAACAGGGCTTTTTAAGTTTAAAAATATTTATTCACTATTCTTAAATGGCCGTCTAAAACCGTCTAAATCAACTCATAAACAACGTACATACGCATTACGTCACATTCAATAATAGGTTTGTTACGTAACTTAAACATTTGCCAAAAGTCGAGCCCCTGCTTATGTCACGAAACGCTAATACTGTTATTGCTCTGAAAGCGAGGCGAAAGCTATGAAAGTGGCCACTGCAGACAATTCAAATGACACTAATGGAAAGAAATGTATCTTACGTCGTGCCATAGCGGCAATATATTTTTTTTTATATAGAGTGGGGTGACAAACGAGCATACAGTCCACCAAGTGGATACTGTGGCCCATATACATTTACATTAATCCTCGATTAAAAATCAAAATGCAGATGCGTTTCATCATAGTCAAACGAATGCCTCGTTTCCAGAAAAAGGAGTCTAAGTTCCAGTAAATTTTGCAATGATTGAATTATTGTTATATATTATAATTAATAGAATCAGGCGTTACTTTGCGGAAATCCATTATAATGGGGTTGTTATAATGACCAGCCCCCGCAGAGTCTACTTCACCTGAGGATGCCTCGTGTAGAGGCGAAACGCGTGTCGTATTTTCGAGAGTGGTGTGTCGTGCCTAGTGTGGTGGTGCTGGGGGTGGTAGTGCTGGGATTTACGGCGACGGGTATAGTGTGCGCGATTGAGGGAGGGTGGGATTTCTTCTTAAAACTGGGCAAGACACATCATTTTCTTTCTTTATGTGGAATTAAGCAAATTAGTTTATAACAACATCATGTTATATATTATATTATTATATGATAAATTTGTTTAATATTATTATTCATAGCCTCGCTTTTATTGGTTATTCATGTTGTCCGATGTTTGTTTTGACAAAACTAAATTTAGACACTATTGTGAACTTCGCATCTCACACAATGACAAACGAGTATACAGTCTATCTGAATCTGATACATCTGTCTTCGATTAAGAATCAGAATGTAAAGGGGATTGTTCACTCTTGACTTAACGTGGAGAAGTTGTTCTGTAAGAAGTATTTTTACGAAAAAAATATTATTAAATCTAAAATTAATATTTTTTTAATTGTCGTAGTAGGAAAGTAAATTAAAAAACAAGTCGTTTAATAAATATTTAAGCCGATTGAGTTCAAAATGAGTCGCCATTTTTTTGGTTGGAGTCACAGACTAACTAGTAGATTCTAATGATTCTACATTAATAATAATTGTGAATACAGTCTTAATAATCGATTATTAAAATAATCGATTTCTAAATCTGACCAAAAATATGTATTTTCTTGAAAATGTGCAATCAACTGATTTTCAGAAGGTTTTTACTGTATTTATTTTCTTTTAATTACATAAAAACAAACAAAACACTCATTGTTTTGGCCTGCAAATCATTTTACATCCGATTATAATATTAGTTCGGTTGTTGTCAACTCGATTTTTTATTACCTATTTACCAACTGTTAATAATGGCATGTGTATACAGTGAAAAAAAAAACATTTGCTTTGCCTCCCTGTATTGTTTCGGTTATTTTTGGGAAGTACTTTCTTTTTGATATAATGGACTCCGATACCGCTCTAATTGAAGACCCGACTTTACCGTTGGAAACTGAATGTACTCATGACGATGACCCTGATGCTATTTTGTTAAACGTTGAACCGGCTTCAAATTACAAGAAATACTCATAACTTTTTTCAGCGACGAGTTTTAGCATTACACATACTAAATATGAACTATTTTTACACTCTCCTGTAACCTTATTACTATAATTCGTTTCTTTGAGGTATATACTATTAAAAACCCCCAGTTATTAAATATTAGGTATAGTTAATGTTCACTTTGAGCCAAATTACTGTAACAAACTGAGCAATTCCCTTTCTCACCCCTGAATATAAAGTTGGAATGCCTCGTTAATCGTAAAAAGAAAGGTTGTTATCAACCATTAACACACTTGCCAAGGGCTCTACCCTATAAGTATAAAAAGTACATTACGTTTTCAAATAAAATGTAATATATTGTATATAGAAAGATTCACCAATTTTATATTTTCAAATGGAGGAGAAAATGAGAGAGGGATAGAGATTCAGAAATTTATGCTAGGTCACTAAACAAGACGTCAAGAAGAGCTATTTACCGTTGGATGGCCTATACATATCACTCAATTGGTGTAACGTGACGGTATCATTCTTGGCATACTGCCAACCATCTCACACGTTGTTTGCGAGCTATTTTATTCGTGGGTGTGCCCGTCTAATAATATTTCATCAGACAGGAGTCGTTTATAAACAAATAGCAGTTTAATGCTGTTGTACTTTGTATGACGAATGTGGAGAACCAGAAAGCGAGAATATGGTAATAAAATGACTTTCAATGAGGGCTAATAATTTTCTGCTCACCAGATGTCGCAGTTGACACTGAGGTAAAGTTTTTAGTTACACAATGTAATTTAATTGAGAAATAGGTTTTTAATTAAAGTTTATCAGTTTCTAGAATATTATATCAATACACAAAATAATGTGTCAGTGGTTTGCTCTTTAATTTTTACGCATTTTTAATTAATCTACTTTTATGAATATTTATATTTGTGATTTGGTTTATTTATTTTTAATATTATTAAAATAAAATATAGCTATTAGTGCAGAAAGAATATTAGAATTACTTGAATCTATTTATTGAATAAAAATTATTATATTCTCTTCTACTGTATTGTATTCTGTGTGATGGGTATCTCTGTTTCCAGAAACTTTTATGCTCAGATTAAAAGTTATTGCGAAAAGCTGATTAATATTTTCCAAGATGCAATCTCTTAATTGTTATCACAACTATATATGTAGTGCCGAGTAGTGGCATAATAATAGAAATCATATCTAATTATTAATCGAAGAAATCCTCATTAAGACTGGTGTTCCACAAGGATCCCATTTGGGCCCTTTACTTTTTGTGACTTTCATTAATGACATAATACCTAATTATTTCAAGTGGGTATTGTAAGAGGTAACAGAGAAAAGTTATAAAGCCATCGAGGACTCTAGACTAATGGCGGTATATTGCCTCGTGTATAACAAAAATAAATGACGTTAAAGGTGGCGGCTTTTTTAAAGAGGACTACAGACGAGCCCGAAGAGCACCAGATGGTAAGTGCATGCTGTGACTTACACCTTTATGAACATGAACATGTATGAACATAATGAACATGAACATAATGAAACAAGTTGAAACATAATGAAAATGTAGATGCGTTATCACTCTGAGGACTAAGATAAAGTGATCTCGTTACTAGTAATAATATAAAATTAAAAAATTTGTACAACCGACTTCAATATAAATTATTAAGAATAACTCAAAAACTATTGGTCAGACATTGATCAAATTTATATGGAACCACATGTGAAGCACCAGCTTTCAAATAAATAAAGAATTATCGAAATCGGTTCACCCAGTAAAAAGTCATGAGGTTACACATGAAAAAAAACATACAGTCGAATTGAGTACCGTCTTCTTTTTGAAGTTGGTAGAAAAGAAGTGGCTGGTACCTTCCACCGACCATAATCCTCAAAAGTATGGCAAACAACTTCTTCATAAAAACCGTTTTTTTTTCTGTCTGGTAGGAAACTATCACAGTCTTACCTTACCTCACTATATTCTTCTATCTTTGTTTAATAAACGTATAATATGCTGTTATATAATATTCTGTGTTATAAGTGAGTAAGCGACACAGCATGAAATACCACAGAGTAAATAATAGTACAAGAATTAGTACGTAATATTATCTCTTTCCGCTAAATATTAAAAATTAACAAAGCAGAGATAGGCATTTGGTCGTATATTTGTGTATTTTCTATGGTTTGGACTAAAGCCAGGAATGATGGCGTAACGTCAGTTTGGTTGAATAATACGGACACGTAACAGACTGGCTGAATGAGTGAAACAATAATAAAAAGCGAAACAAAAACAAAAGACACATAATAATTGCTATTTACGGGGATATTTAGGCGGCAAGATATTGTAATGGCGATGTACGAATATTCACTGATCCATGTCGTCCCGTGGGTGTCGTAAGAGGCGACATAAGGAAACAAACCATGAAACTAAAAAATTAAAAAACACTACTGTTGCCAAACCGCCTGCCAAGTCTGGTAACTATGGCAAGTATCGTACCTATGAGGCAACCTATGTGAGAGATCTTTGTTTGACCGTGGACCTTTAATAGGCCGTAATGGTAACGGTATTTTAAATTAATCTGGGTCAATAAAGAATCCGTAAAACATCCAGTACCATTCTTTTCAAATGTGATTGTAGAATAACCGAATAACAAACAATAGAAGTACTCTTTCTACAACATCATCATCATCATTATCAGTTCATAGAAGTCGACTGCTGGAAGTTGGCCTCTTCCGTAAAAAACGTATAATAGTACTAAGTTATTTTAGAGATGCATTTGCACGCCTCGAATGCAAAGTGAAGAGTTTGGGCTCTAAATTATTATCGTACCTTAAATAATTCCCATTAATTTTATTTACGTTAAAAATTACTTATGGGAAGAGGAAATTCCATTAAACAATCCTATAAAGTCTTGTGGACTGTTATGAAACTTCGTTAAAAAAAGATCCTACGCTCACTAGATGACGCTAGTTTCGATTGAGGTTAACTTATATGTTACCCAGACGGTCACACAGTCTCATCATCAATGAATAGTTGCATTTTAAGTACTTAAATAAAAGTTTTTCAGTTTCTACTACGGTATGTAATATGTATACTATCACAAAACAATGCATCGGTGCTGTATTCTTTAATTTTTTATACGTGGTAGAGCCATGCTTCAGCTATATTAGTAGTATAGTTGTAGCACGAATAGGTCGGCTCGACCGGGGAAGGACCACGCTCTCACAGAATACCAGCGTAAAATGGCAGCTTCAGCTTGACACTACTGTGTTTCGTATGGTGGATGTAGAGAAACGGAGACCCATTTTAGTGGAAAAGAGGCATTCCATCTTAGTCCTCACGGGTGACGACGCATCTGCATTTTGATTCTTTATTGAGGATAAATGTAGATGTCTATGGGTCACAGCAACCACTTACCATCAGGTGGACTGTGTGCTCGTTTGTTAACCTATCCTTTAAAAAAAATTTACACATTTTTTTTTTAATTTTCTTTTTCTTCTCTTAAAACGAATTATCCGTAGTTTAGTTTATCCATTTCTAATAAGATCTATACTTTTCTAACAAATTAACTTCCCCCGTTATGAAATCTGTCGAATATTTCATCTCATTTTTTAGGGGCGCCGCCCTGGTGGCGGAAAAAGTCGTGGATGCCCGTCATTGCCAGACGTCTTGCACCTTTATTTATTTATTTAAATAAATACATATTTAATAAAAGACAGACACACATAGCGGTCAAACTTATAAATCCCCTCTTTATGCGTCGGGGATAAAAAATAGTCCCCCCGTAGCTCCAAAGAAAATGGTAATTTTTTTATATTTTTCTTAACATGTATATTTCTTTGTGATATTTTATTTCTTGAATGAGAATAATGTTTTTGTGTGTCCTGTACCATAATTCATTGGTCTGTCTACTGGCATGAACTCGTATATACGAACGAACGCAAACATGATATTTTGCAAACCACTCATCCACTTGTGTAAAAATAGTAACCAATTAAACCAAATATTTGTGAAATAAAACCGGCCAAGTGCGAGTCGGACTCACGCACCGAGTGTTTAAAAAAAATAATAAACGTCACCCCCACACTAGGATTTTCTCCTGTGTCGTGGAGGCAGTTTACATAAATTGCACAAGGACAAACATCCAGACCCGGAACAATTATTTGTAGGCCATACAAATACTTGTTCCGTGCGGGATTCGAACCCGCGGCCCCCAGCGCGACAACTGATTGCTAAGCCACTGCGCCACGGAGCCGTTACGGTATATAAGTTTAATATTATTCAAAATATTTTTATTATATGATGTAACTAAAAATTTATGCTTTTCGCAATTTTTCCTTTATCTGTGTTATAATACGTTGCTTCGTACCAAATTTTAAGAATTGGAGTTTACGGGAAGTACCCTGTAGGTTTTGATTCCCTTGCGAGTGTCGAAAATTTGCGGCATAAGCGGCTGTATCTTTTGATTGCGTTAGCTTAGAAGTTTGATTTTTTCATAGCTTCAAGAGACAGTAGACTTGACTATTTGATATGAATTTCAGCTTGATACCTCCACGCCTTCCTGAGAAAAAGGGTCTTGACAGACAGACAGACGGACAACAAAGTGATCCTATAAGGTTCCGTTTTTCCTTTTGAGGTACGGAACCCTAAAAATTTATTATTACTTACTTTCTTTTGTATCCAGTAAGAAATCTGCCGGTTGTCCTAACGAATTGATTAAGACTGGTGGGGTGCCATTTGCGACAGACACGTTGGTGGCGATGACGTTTATGATAGTGACGTTGTTGATGGTACTGTTCCCAGTCGTGGTGTTCTTCGGCGGCTCGAGTTGGGGCAGGGCCGGTGAAGTCCATGCGAGGATAGTTCCCGCGATCACAGCACCGATCGCCGCTGAAAATAAAAAATGGGTGATTATTTTTTCTCAGGCAATAGATTAACACAATTTTTTTATATAGAATAAGGGTGACAAACAAGCAGACAATCCATTTAATGGTTAGTGGACGCTGAGGCTTGGATTAGAATGAAGACGCGTTGTTACCCCTGAGGACTAAGATAGAATGCCTCGTTTGCAGTAATAAAGGATCTTCGGTTCTCTATCCATAAGGACTAAGGTAATTTTTTTTAAATTTTCCTATAACCACTTTTGGTACATATACGATAGTAGTCGAATAGCGGATTCGAATCCACGACCTTTTCAGTTCGCGATCTGCACCCTGCCATTAGGCTACTCTCGCTTTAAAGAATGCCTCATTACCTCTAAAAATGGACTCCATTACATTACTTCTCTACATTAACCAACGAAACAGCAGTATTAAGCTATGATATATGAAGGTATTCTGTGAGAATGTGGTTCTTCCCCGGTCGAGGCGACTCATTCGTGGTAGTAGCACGAAAGTGTCAGCTCAATCGGGCTAACTGCAGCGTGGCTCTAAAACGTAGAAATGTACGAAAAGGTATCTCTAAGATATACATATAATATAAGCACATAAAGCATGGTAAATGACCCGCTCCTCAATGAATTGTCGGGATATCGTTAATCTAATTACAATGAATTATAACTGACATCATGGTTCAATCTTGTAATAATAACGTTTAGCTATACGAGATGGTAACAATTTGTTAACTATTTTAAACTAGTGACTCGCCCGGGCTTCGCCTGGGTGTGATCTATTAACATGACGTTTGTTTAGATTTAAGACAGTTCGTTAAAGAACATTTGTTTAATCAATTTTTCACACAAAAATAATTTGTTGTTAGTAAGCTAGAACTTGTGCCGTGTAGAGGCGGTGTAAGAATATCCACTACCCCATAACTTCCCGTGAGTGTCGCTTTTTTTATAGGATAGGGTGACAAACGAGCACACAGCCCACCTGATGATAAGTGGTTGCTGTGACCCATAGACATCTACATTTATTCTCGTTTGCGAATCAAAATGGAGATGCGTTGTCACCCGTGAGGTCTAAGATGGAATGCCTCTTTTCCAGTAAAAAAGGTATCCGGTTCTCTACACTCACTATACGAAACACAGCAGTGTTAAGCTGCTATATTACGCTGATATTCTGTGAGAGCATGGTCCTTCTCCAGTCGAGCAGACCCATTCGTACTACCAACTATACTACTAATATAGGTGCAGCATGGCTCTACCACGTAAAAAAGTCCTAAGAGGCAACAGAGGGAAACAGGCAGGAGATGGGCAGCAGCATCTTTCTGATACCAGTAATAGTACAATAAAAACTGCGGTTGCCAACCAGCTCGCCAAGCGTGGCAACTATGGCAAACATCCCCCCATGAGAGCTCAAGGTCGCTCAGCGAGCTATGGAGAGGGCTATGCTCGGGGTTTCTCTGCGTGATAAACTTAGAAATGAGTATATCCGCAGTAGAACCAGAGTAACCGACATAGCCCAACGGATTAGTAAGCTGAAGTAGCAATGTGCCGGCCATGTAACTCGAAGAACCGACAACCGATGGGCAAAAAAGGTTCTCGAATGGCAGCCTCGTACCGGCAGGTGAAGTGTAGGGCGGCCCGCCACTAGATGGAGTGACGACCTGATAACACATGTAAGAAATCGATGGATGTAGGAAATGAAACTAGAACTTGTAACTGAACTATTTAACAAACAAATCGTCAATTATAGATGTACAGTAGATTAGATCGACAACTCGTATCTAGGCACTAGGCAGCCTTACGTATGTAGGCACTCCAAGTTAGTATTACTTAGTACTCTATTCAAATCTCTATAATATATAAAAATCAATAGCTTTTTTTTTATAGGAGAGGGGGCAAACGAGCATGCGGCTCACCTGATGGTAAGTGACTACCGTCGCCCATGAACAACTGCAACACCAGGGGAATCGCAGATGCGTTGCCGGCCTTTTAAAAAGGAGTACGCTCTTTTCTTGAAGGTCCCTAAGTCGTATCGGTCCGGAAAAATCGCTGATGGTAATCGATTCCACAAGGAGGTCGTGCGAGGAAGAAAACATCTTCTAAATCGCACAGTGGTGGACCGCCAATCATCCAGATGGTGTGGATGGTATCGGGAGTTCTGCCGCGATGTGCGTTCGTGAAATTTGGCGGCTGGGATTAATCCGAACAATTCCTCAGAGCACTCCCCATGGTAGATGCGAAAGAAAATGCAAAGGGATGCAACATCTCTTCGCAGTGCCAATGAATCGAGCCGATCGGAAAGGGCTCGGTCGTCGACGATTCGAGCAGCTCTGCGTTGGATGTGGTCAAGTGGAAGGAGCTGGCACTGGGGAGCCCCTGCCCAGAGATGGGAACAGTATTCCATGTGAGGCCGAACTTGCGCCTTGTAAAGTTGCAGGCGGTGTGCCGGCATGAAATACTGTCCCACCCTGCTGAGCACGCCAAGCTTTTTAGAGGCCAATTTGGCCTTCCCTTCCAAGTGACCACGAAACTGCACGTCACTCGATATGTCGACTCCGAGGATACCGATACTGGCTGAGGCAAGAAGGGGAGTGCCTTGAAACTGAGGAGATACGACAAAGAGGTTCTTTTTAGCGGTAAACGCGCAAACTTGTGTCTTCTGAGGATTAAACTGGACTAGATTTAGTCGCCCCCAATCCGAGACTTTGCTCAGCAAAGACTCGACTTCAGACACAAGTTTATTCCGGTACTCAGCGACGTTTTCCCGAGAAATATTGGCACGGCCGGTGTATAGAGCATCACCAGTGCTGTCATCCGCATAGCAATGAATGTTACCAGTTAGCAACATATCATTGATATGCAGAAGAAACAGTGTTGGTGATAGCACACAGCCTTGTGGAACACCAGCGTTAATAGGCTTGTAGTCAGAGCATGCACCGTCTACAACGACCTTGATGCTCCGATCTGCAAGGAAGCTGGTGATCCAATTGCACAATTTCTCGGGAAGCCCATAGGAAGGGAGCTTCGAAAGAAGCGCTTTGTGCCAAACCCGATCGAAGGCCTTCGCAATGTCCAGACTAACGGCCAACGCCTCCCCCTTGGACTCTACTGCCTCCGCCCATCTATGGGTCAGGTAGACCAGAAGATCACCAGCTGATCGACCCCGACGAAAACCGTATTGGCGGTCACTAATCAGCTGGTGATCCTCAAGGTACCGGATGAGCTGGCAGTTAATAATGGATTCCATTATTTTGGAGAACAAGGAGGTGATCGCGATAGGCCTATAGTTGGAAGGGTCTGAGCGGTCGCCTTTTTTAGGGATCGGGTGGACAAAAGCTGTCTTCCATGAATTCGAGACTACGCCTTGGGAGTAGGAGTACCGGAAAAGACGTACTACGCCAACTCCGGAGCACACGTCCTCAGCACAATTGGGGGGATTCCGTCAGGCCCACTCGACTTCTGGATGTCCAGGGAGAGCAGTGCTTTGCGAACCGAGCGCTGTAAGAACAGCACATCCGGCATGGAGCACTCACACCGCGGGATGGTCGGCGGTGTTTTCCCCCCGTCATCAAGAGTCGAGTTGGACGCAAAAAGGGAGCCTAAAAGGTCGGCTTTGTCTTTTGCGTCATGGGCCAGTGAGTCATCCTCCCTGTGCAGAGATGGTAGTGATGGCTTACAGAAATTCCCTTGGACAGCCTTGGCGAGAGACCAGAATGCACGGGTTCCCGAAGGAAGGCGAACTAGTTTCTCGCCAATTCTGCCTATGTGCTCTGACTTTGCTTTGGCAATAACTCTTTTGAAGGACCTGGAGGCGAAGTTATACTTCTTTTTAAGTGTGCTGGTGTTTACATCCCGAGTCGCCGAAGCCGCAGCCCAGGCTTGATAACGTTAGTTAGTCCGTTAGTCTCGTTAAACCTCGAAAATGACTCGACTGATTTTGACGAATTTCTTTGTGTGTGTTTGAGTGGCTCCCTGGATGGTTTAGATTTACAATTGGACCCGATAGGTGGCGCTGTTCTCGAGATCTATAATTCACCCGAGCGAAGCGTGGGCGAATCGCTAGTTATAAATAGATGAATAACAAACCTACTTGTACAATGTAAATGCTCGCAATAAATATTTACACGACGTCTGCCAAGTTTCACGATATTTATCTCGTCTTGAGCGATTTAAACTAACACAATATTTTGTAAAAGTATCCTTTACAAATTGTATGAGTCGTTTTTCATATTACTATACTGTGTGTGTTGTGCCATGTAGTGGCAGTGTAAGAAATCCACTACCTCATATCATTCCGTATTCCGTGTCGTAAGAGGCGACAGAGAGAAACCAATCAGGAGATGGGCAGCATCGTCTTTCTAATATCGTATAAAAATAAAAATAAAATGCGGTTGCCAACCAAGCTTGCCAAGCATAGCTATGAGGCAATCGATGCGGGAGGTCTATGTTCAGCCGTGGACTTTAATAGGCCGTAAGGGTAAACAGCACTGCAGTAGCCACTTATTAACAGGTGATGGTAAATGTTCTATAAAAAAAAACTAATGTTCTATAAAAAAAAATCTGATATAGGGAAGTAGGGTCTTGAAACTACACTCAAACTACGAAACTCAGCGGTAAGCGGTATTATGCAGCTATATTACATTGGTATTACTTCCCCGGAGCCGACCAATTGCTGCTGCAGGCGTTATACTTACGTACGATGCAGCTCAACGTCACAGTGCCAAGTATATATATATAGTATACAAATATTCTTAGTAAGATGTTTAAAAGGTTGATTAATTTAAACGTAACATCGACATATCGACATTCTACTCCTGTTTTGTATCGCTAAAATTTATGTAACCGTTTCCATTAATATTGAAAGCTTCCTTTGCTTACATCTATTGAAACTTGATGTATTGCCAAGAGCAGAGAAGTGAATTATGGTATAGGGACTAAACGCTAGCAAATCGTGAGCAAATCCGAGTTTGATTACCGAAATTAGCACCAAAATTATTAATTGCAATTTTAAAGCTTTTTCACAAGTGTAACGTATAATGGGCCGCACCCCGTTATGTACTAAGATTTCTAAAATTTTAATTTGATTTTTTTAGAATTTATTAACAAAAATCATTACCCACTTACCAAGTTTTATTATGTAAGGTGTTTTACGTGGTAGAGCCATGTTGCAGCTATATTAGTAGTATAGTTGTAGCACGAATAGGACCACGCTCTCACAGAAAACCAGCGTAAAATAGCAGCTTAACACTGCTGTATTTCGTATGGTGAGTGTAGAGAACCGGAGACCCTTTTTACTGGCAAAGAGGCATTCCATCTTAGTCCTCACGGGTGACAACGCATCTGCATCTTGAGTCTTTATTGAGGATAGATGTAGATGTCTATGGGTCACAGTAACCACTTACCATCAGGTGGACTGTGTGTTCGTTTGTCACCCTATCCTATAAAAAAATGTAAATAAATTGAGTACAGCGCCACCTATCGAATCCAAGCATAGCTATCAACCATTATATTGGCAAAACGAATATATCGCTTGTATAGTATATTGTCCGACCTAAATTTATATTCATAAAGTCGTTCGGAAATAAATCTCCCTACTTTTTCGGATAAAAAATAGCCAAGATAACTTTCGGCATGCTCCCTTTCTATTCATGAAGTTTCATTACAATCTGTTCAGTTATTCCGAAGACAAACAGATAATCGGACAAAAATTTTAAACACTTTCATATCTTAATGGCATGCCGATAACCCCGCCAGATCAATAAAAGACCGCTATTTCTTATTTTACATGTTTTATATACATATATAAAATTAATACATATATAGTTTGGTTTAAGCATTAATTTATGCTACAGTAGTTTGACCGTAGAATTTAAAGGCGAGCTCTACCCGCCGAGGAAGCCTGAGAAGCGACCAACTTCTGTGTACTTGTAAAGAACTTCTTTGGAAATCTTCGATAGCGTAGTTTACAGGCTTCGATAGTCGCAGTCTGTGTAACAAGTTATACTAGTTCTGGCATCTGTCAGATTTCATATGTCAACAAAATAGTTAGTCTCTGGTCCATTTATCACGACAGAACACAACACAACCAACACAAGAACGTCGCACGAAATATGGTGAAACTGTGAGGAACCGCTATTAATATGTAACGTATTTTTTACCTGCTACTGCAGCAATGTACTGATTAGTCCTCTTGGTCTCGCCGGCCTTCTCCTGGACGGAGAGCATATGCATAGTGGGCTTATCCATGACCGCTTCTTGTATTTTCTTCTAGATCATTCTGGAACAACAAGAAATTACAAACAGATTAAAAAGTTATACTATCATAAGATATCCTCCTTCTGGCCGATATTAGGAGCTTATCATTCATCATTACAACCTATAAAAGTCCACTTAGGCGTTCTCATAGATTGGCTCATAAGGGGGACATTTGCCATCGTTGCCATATGCGTAAGCATCATATTAGTCTGTGTTTGACGGGCTTGTCAAGCGGATTGGCAACCGAAGTTTTTTTATATATCTATAATATAAAAATGAATCGCTGAATTTGTTGCTAAGCGCAAATCTCGAGAGCAGCTGAACCGATTTCGGTAATTCTTTTTTTATAATATTCTTTGAAGTACGAAGATGGTTCTTACGGAGATAAAAATTTAAAAAATTGCCTGAAAAAGTCTAAAAACAACACTTTTCTATATTACCATACAAAAGATTCGTAATAATACTTAAAAGTCAATTTAAGTATTATTACGAATCTTTATGCTTAAGTGTTAGTGGAGGGGTGCCAAGAAGGCAAAACAATTGAGTGACTTAAGTATCGCATAAATATTAATGTCAATATTAGTCAATAGTGTTTTATAATTTTTATTTTTTGACATAATGTAATTGTTGACTTATCAACTTTCTTTTTTCACAGGATGTCCCAAATAGCAGAATAAGTATTAAAAAAAAATTAAAAATCGACTGTTAGGCGGTACGAAGTTCGCCGGGTCACCTAGTATTTTATAAAGAGACGCCTTCTGCAAACATACACATTAGCAAACAAACATACATCTTTTATACGTGGTAGAGCCATGCTGCAGCTATATTAGTAGTATAAATGTAGCACGAATGGGTAGGCTCGACCGGGGAAGGACCACGCTCTCACAGAATACCAGCCTTAAATAGCAGCTTAACACTGCTGTGTTTTGTATGGTGAGTGTAGAGAACCGGAGACCCTTTTTACTGGAAAAGAGACATTCCATCTTAGTCCTCACGGGTGACAACGTATCTGCATTTTGATTCGCAAACGAGGATAGATGTAGGTGTCTATAGGCCACAGCAACCGCTTACCAACAGGTGGACTGTGTGCTTGTTTGTCACCCTATCCTTTAAAAAAAAACACATTCTTGGATTTCTTCTTCTTCGTGGATAGCATTGAAACAAAGTAAAATCAACTCAAGGTACTATAGATCATTTTACTTTTCTTTGGCTTTCGGATGGAGCGTTAACCAAGCTGTCGCGATCATGTCATCGCCTAGTGTCGTTCAAGACGACTTCGTCTAGTTTTAAGTTTATTTTTTTATTTTTTAATACAAGAAAACGCTGCCTCTCGTTTGTTTCCCTCTGTCGCCTCTTACTACCTCATATTTCTTTTTACAAAACTACTAGGCTTTCTTATGTTCCAACTGCAATTGTAAGCAAAAAATATAAGTTATATATAACTACAAATTAACGATTTTAACGATATTTTTTTTTATCAAATAGACTACCTGAAGGGTGGTCCCATTAAATTTTGAAGAAAAAGTTCTGCCCCTAAGGGTGGAAAATAATATTATTTTTTAAATAATGGACTATTGTTTAAAAAATTTCATATGATATCTTCGCAGATTGATGACCGATTTTAATTATTCTTCTTTTATTAAATATGTTATACTTCAAGGGTGGTCCCATATAAATTTGGAGAAGAAATTACACCCTTAAGCGTGGCAAATAAATAACTTCGTTTTTAGCTTTTTGAAGTTGGTTATCACGTTTTGTTAAAAGTTATTATCAATGGATGCTTTTGTATTATGATGCGGTATTAAATTATTCTTGTCTTTTATTGTGAGCTCTTGCTTTTTGCCAAATTTTACGACTCTAAATTATAGATCAACGGGAAGCACCCTAAAGGTTTTGATAAATTTGCGAGTATCAAAATATGTGACATATAAATGCCCGTATCTTTTGATTGCGTTGACTGAGAAGTTTGAATTTTTAACAGCTATAAGGTATTATAGATTTTAGTATATGATATTAATTTTAACTTTACAGCTCTATCCGTTCCTGAGAAAAGGGTCTTAACAGAAGGCCAACAAAATAACCTATAAGGGTCCCGTTTTTTTTTCCTTTAGATGTGTAGAATCCAATAACAAACAACTAATAGATTACAATTTAAGATACAGTTTGATAATGATTTCTTATATTTACGCGAACAATACACATTTTTAAATAAAACTAATTTTACGGATTTTATCGCGTATTAATATACGCGATAAAATCCGTAAAATTAGTTTTATTTAAAAATACAGTTTGATTATTACAACAGGATTCGACATCATTACTGCATTCAATGTGTCCTTGAACTTGAGTCTTTGATACAGTCTATATATAATTTATTGATTGTATCCCTTATGTGTTTGTGTTTAAGTCTATTTTTGGAAGCATGTCGCTATACTGAATCGAACACTGATTCTGCTATCGATTTTATAGAAGTGATAAACGAATCCCTTAAGGCTTTAACTAGCCTGAATGACCTTGACGAAACGGCGATCGCAGAGATTTTAGCCGATGTCAACACCGTCTAGCAACTACGTTCTGTATTACTTATAAAAGTGCAAAGATTAATAGACTGCAGAGATGACAATTATATAAGTGACATACTGCCTGTTATGCTTGCGCATCACTGAGAATTATGTCGCGGTTACGCATCTTCAATTACATTGCATGGTGTGGTGCTGTAGCTTTGTCCGGTAGGCATCACGAGCTATCAAGTGTTCAAGTTTCAAGTACGTAAGAATTTTTATTATATATGTTAAATCGTATTTATTTGTATCGTATTAGTAGATCTGGGTCAAAGCGTTCGCTGTAAATATTTTCCCGGGTTTGATCCCCGACAGCACGAATGAAATTTGTAATTGCAATTTTCGTCAACACGCATTGGGGAAGCACGGCGGGCATTTCCTTGCCCTAAAACCCTCTCAAAAATAAAAAGAGTCCTGTGCCCAGTAGAGGGACTTGTATAGCCTATTACTTTACTTTGTAGCAATATTTATATTCGTTTCAGATATAGAAGGGTACCTTATGCTGACAAAAATATCATGTGGAGGCGACGAAAACGTAAAACATCTTTGTACCTAGATAAAACGTTCGAAAGATTGTCAGTCATGTCATACGCCACATTTTCTATAGAGCATAGAACATTGCAGATAGGGCATAATAAAAAATAATCCAATATATAATGGGAACTATTTATTAATAATATATACATTTATAGGTATTTATAATAAAAATAATGAACAAGCTGCAAGGTTCAACTAATAATGTTTTTTGTAAACACAATCGTAAAATTCCTGTTTTAATTTTTACCAATGGTTAATTGATGAAACGTAGTCCAGATCACTTCATCTAAAATATATTTAATTAAAATTGACACGTGACCTATTTGGCCTTCTCCTTACAACTCGGCGGAAATTTGAAAAGAAATTTTGTCTTTTCACACAAGTATTGTTTCCAACGGTTTCGAAAAGCGTGATTAAGTGTCAGCGGTATATAATCAATTAAACACTGAACTTTATTGAAATTTATTTTTTTGTTTATTTTTGTTATATCTTCTTAAAAACTGACGCCATCTCACTATTTTATTATTGGTTTTTTTTGTACGCAAAAGGATAAGTTAGGCTAAGTTAGATTAACTTGGACAAGTTTATATTTTTTTTAATTTTATCACAAAATTTCCGCAATAAATTATTACCTTTTCTACATTGATTCTCTCCTCTTAGTTTCGGCGTGACTGTAGGATGTTATAGTGAGTCATCGTTTGTTACTAAGCGGCCATAAATCATTATATGTATGTATAGACATACATATATACATTTTTTGATTTTAATATTTATGTTTTTTAAATTGTGATTGATTTTTTGAGACCTGGTAAAATTATTTTTTTCCATACCAATTGATGGGCCTGAGTATAATGCCAGTTATGCTCTTTGGCTGAAGTTATCTTTTATTTTATGCTCAATTGCAGACAAAACAATATTGATTGCGCATTTCTAAAACAAAATTTTACCTCTTCTCCTTCTAATAATAGCTCCTGCACCTAACACGGCGGAATAGTTTATAGTGCCTTGAGCAACACTTTGCCGGTTTCTGTACAGAAAATGGTGCTGGCTTTGCCAATACGGATGGCCGCTACCATTGAATATAATACCCGCTATGTTACACTTATTTACATATAAACTTTAATTACCATTTGCATCAAATTCTAAATAGCACTTTTTACACAAGAAAGTAAACTTTTAGATCAGTCCATTTTGTTTTTCACTAATTAAGTAAAAAGTAAAACAAACCAATAGGGCCGGGAATTAAAATTTCTTGCAATTTTTTATAGAAAAGCATGACCTTATCATAATATAAAAGTCAATCATTTAGCCATGTGATAAAACTTTTAAGTGTGCCAGTCAAACATTAATGATGATATTTGGGTCATTATACTGGAAATAGTCTTTTAAATATTTTGTAGTACAATTGATAATCTTCAGTATGATTGACCGTGTATATGACTTTTATAAGTCTATGTTATTTTTGATGAAAATTATTATTGCAGATAAAAAGCCCTTTCACATTTATTTTAGTCTCGAATTAAATTAATCAAAATGAAAATAATAACATTGGCTCTTTATAACTGATCTTTAAATGTAAAACACTGACTTGAAATTATATAATTATTAGCATTTTTTTTAATTCATTGAACTTTTTTAAGATTTTGTTGAAACTCTACTGGTAAAAAAAAACAAATATATATGTATATATATATATATATAATATATATATATATATATATATATATATATATATATATATATATATAATAGTTCTTGATGAAAATAATGTATGCGCGTTACATCGCATCCCATCAAGAATTTCTAATGTAATTCTTGGTGTATAGCTAAGACGTGATAATAACTGTAAACAATAGAATAACAAAATAATGAAAACATTTACATTTACATTTA